ATAAATGCCTACCGCGTCGGCTTGAGGACCCCATGTAAGCAGCCTCCAGCCTTTAGAGTGCTCCTACCGTTTATCTTTCTTTTATTAGCTTCCCGCCATGAGAAGTCGTACCGCAGGCAGTATGAAGCCCATTAGAGGAAACATCTCCCCCTTCTGGCGCTCGTCGGCTTCTTTCTGTATTCCGCGCTGCGGCGCTGATCCTCAGTGAGGGACGGAGGCGAGGACGAAAGCGGGCTTATGTTTAAGCCAAGGTCGTGGGGAAGTCCGGAGCGTCTTCAGGAGAAGCTCAGACCCAGACTACACTGTACCCGGAGCATTTGCTTCCTCTCTCAGTTGAGAAGAAAAGCAATGGACTTCTTCCAAAACCGACGCGCCCCATCGCGGCGAAATACCACGCAGTGCACTCTGGGAACTAGTTGGCCGCTCAGTTTCGGTTTCGATTGAGCAGCTTCATCTCATGCTGTCACGCCGCGACCGAACGCGCTGCTTGGGTTTTCGATTATCTGACTTTTCACGAACGTACAATACACTCATTCTCGAGCGATACAAAACGAAGACGGGGGCACTTTTCTTGGTTCCCGAAACACCGGATATTATGAGTGCGTATGCAAACGTAGTAAGACGTGGCTTAGTCACCTCACCCAACGAGTGCATCTTTGAGTTCAATTTCAATAATCCCGTCTAGTACCAGTGAACTAGAACTGAAATTTTTTTCACCTGGAGCCTTTCACCTATTTTGTTTGCCAAACGTCCGCTTCTTGTTACCTCACTGGGCAAAAAGCAAGCCGCATTCTCACAGGAGTATCAAAGTTGAGCCCAGCGTTGACGCATGAACTTTTAAGGAAACGCAATAAATTCGACCTCGCTACTCCACAAAAGTTACTATGATGTCTTCCTCGTGTAATCATATATCTCCCACTCAAATTTTATGCTGATAGAAGATTAAGTTTTTGCAAACGCTGAGATCGGCTAGCTACGACGGAGGCCCTAACAAGCGTCCCCTACTCCTCGCTAAGCCTTTTTGGACGAGCTTTTACTGACGCCCAAGATCTGTGCCTGAACGGTGTGTCTGAAATTATCTCGACATACTCAGGCAGGAAGAAAGCAAACACTTAACAAATATTATGGCCATTAGCAACTGTCAAACGCGCTTTGAATAATTTCGTTCGTTTGGCGCACCGCATAGGGGTTCTTGCCCGTCCGGCGCACTCCCGGCGAACGGTGCGACATTCTTCACAAAAGTGCTCGACCTTTGCTTTCTAAAAATGGTCTGTATGTGCGAATGTGCCTATATGATTGCAGGATAACTTTATGCGCATACGCCATGTTGAACATTAGTGGAATGCAAGCGGGTGAAACCTCACTTCGTGCAGTGCTGCGGGTCAGTACAGATAAGAGATTAGAAGTGTGTTAAAATTGAGCTTTTTAATGGCGCCTCCGAGTTTTACCTCGCGTACTCAGGCGTATTAAGAAAAACAGTAATTGCAAAAAGTGATTTTTCGTCTATGGACGCACGAAACAAACAAACTTTCTGATCAACAACACTAATGTAAAGGCGCAAGCTCGATGTATGCATACTTATTGGTTGCTACAGCTTGTTGGGTCATACATAGGCAAGATCCCCGAGCTTCGCAGCGTCGAGATTCCCAGCACTGGCTCGTCCACATACCTCGATTGGAACGCTAACAGAAAGGCTCAAGTACAAAAATACAACAAGCATGAGTTAAGACAAACTATACGTCGCGGGCTTGTCTAAAGCTTCAAGGTCTGGCCATTTAGGTTAGTTTAGAGACCACAAATGACGCTCTCGGGACCAGAAAACATGAGATAACGGCCGTTAATAGTCCACGCTCTGTCTATAATCTTTTGTCGACGTGTAAATCGAAACCGAAACCATGCCACCCTCCTTCCTGGCTGTCCAACTAGTTCCCAGAGTGCAACGCGCGCCGTGTTGCATGTAGGGCTTTATGGAAGTAGTCTATTGGTAACCTGGTTGTACAAGCTGCATCCTGCGTCGATTGCTTACGTTTTTTCTTCGAGCTGACAAAGAACCCCGGGGGGGGGGGGGGGGGGGGTTGCCTGGCGAGGCGTTTGGGGGGGGGGGCGATCGCCCCCACCGCCCCCCCCCCCCCCCTTGGATCCGCCACTGCGTGGGCAGGGTTGCTGTTTTCTTTGCTTTGTTTTCATGTGATTACAGTTCAGTTGAGAGTCAGCGCTTGTCCTGTTTGCAGTTCCTTTAGTCCCCGTTTACTGTGCGCTGTTTGCCTTTTCGTCCGCTATAGAAAATGCTATAGCATAGTGTGGGATCCCTACACAGAGAAAGACTGAGATTTATTTACAGACGGTTTATTAGATTCGATTCCGCAACAGACATGTTACGGCTGTCCAACCTTCCCCCTCTTGCTCAATAACGAAGAATGGCTCGGTTAAAATTTATTTACTCCCTCTATATCTATAAACTGGGCAGTGAACCGCAAAGTTGTATCTAACAACTTGACACGCACTCGACAAGGCATCGTCTTTCAGAGCTTATTCTACGTTTTGTAAGCCACTGTAACCTACGTACGTACTGGCTCGAATTTCGCGCCGCCTGCTGGCCGCTTCCTGCAGCGGCGGACGCAGAGCGAAGAAGATTTAGCTCGCGATCGGCGGCGAACAGCCCGTGGCCCGAGCCCACCTCGAGCGCCCGACCTGCATGCGCAGCTGCGAACATGCAACTCGTTTGTTCCGGAAAAATTCTGCGCCATCTATGAGGAAAAGGGTACAAATAAAGATGCTGACCCAAACATTTCAGTGTCTATAGACCTTTTCCACAAGGGCGCCGCCATCTTGAATTGACGTCACTTCCAGTATGGGCGAAAACACAACTTTGCCGTCGCCACGCCAAAAGAAGACATTTAGGATATAAGCCTAACCGTCACACATTCTCGATTTGGCTCCCCTCAATTTTTTTACTGGTTAGAGGTTGAAACGTTTTACTATTTTGTCGTCGCCCATACTGGAAGTGACGACAATTCAAGATGGCGGCGCCCCCGTGGAAAATGTCTATAATATGTGACACACTATCCAGGGTGACCACCCGTCCCGCGACTCGCGGGACAGTCCCGCATTGAGGGTTCGTGTTTGGCGTCCCTCGAAAAATTCACAAATCTTCAGAATGTCCCGCATTTCACATTGCCGTGAAATTCACACCGCAACTCATGGTGCTGCCGACCAACGGGGCACAGGGAAACGCGGAGGTCGCTGGTAGTCGCGTGAGTCGAAATGGTACGCCATTTTTCTATCCAAGCACTGCGAGGAGCGACCGTCGTTCTTGCAGGAGACCCGACGCACACGCGCCGTTGTGCCTCTCCTTTTGGTGGCATAATATTGTAAGAAAAATTGCTCGCCAAAAGTTTAAATATAAAATATTGTCATTATTTTCAAATTGCTGTGTCAATGCTAAACGGCTGCTCTGTTTCTTTTTTTTTTTTTTTTAGTGAAGACAACCACACTCACAACGGTCGAAAAGGAACATAATGTAAAAATTTTATGTAGGACCATGTTGATAAAAAAATAAGCGTTGACAGGAAACAATAACCCGAAAAAGATTTACTGTTTTTTTATTTCTGTTTTATGCATTGAGCTCTGATACAGTCGATTTTTATGTTTTCAACTTCAACGTATTTAGTAACATAGTCGGCAGAACAAAACTATATCACTAGGAGTGAAAATTATTTTAACTTAATTGCTGCAATAAAATTCGCAGGCGTAGAAACAGCACATAATTATAATTGTGGTAACAGAGCCTCGGTTCGCTGTGTGCGTGTAAATAAATTTTGTCGACCCCCCCCCCCCCCCCTTCCCCCCTCCGTCGCCTGCCCCGCGTGTCCCGCATTTTGCTAGGAGGAAGGATGTCACCCTAGCACTATCTTCCCATGAGTCAGCAGCGGCCGGTGTACGCGAGCACACCCCGAAGGAAAAATCCATCAATGTAACCCTGTTTGGCAGTCAATGTTTTCTAGTGGACCGCTGACTGTGCCTGACTGTACGTCAAGCATGTCTGATTGGCCAACAAGTTACTCTGACCGACAGTCAAACTCCAGTCAGACTCCGCTTGTCGGCTTTCTGATGGTTTCCTGGTGGCAGTCGGCCGCCGCGAAATGCCATCAGGATGTCTTGGTGGCGATTCTGACTGTACATTGACTGTCTCTGACTGTACGTCAAACAGCTTTGACGTGCAGACAGACGTACGGTCAAAGGACGTAAAGTTCGTTCGGATACCACTATTTCGTCAAATCTGTGAATACGAAAAGTAATCTATGCACGAGAAAACGATTTCGGGACGTGAGCCCATAAAACCGCTGACGTTAGAGATATTAACACGCAACCGACCGACAACCTTGATCAGAAGCCCGCCGAACCCGCCGAAGGGCCGAACACGACACTTCGCTTCGCCCATAGAGACTTCGCCGAGCTTTCATGAACGATCGCTCTCGACTCGGTTTGTTTGTCCGCTTGCTCCAACCTGTCGATCCTGCCCGGGCTCTACAATGTCTTATGTTTTAGTAGAATTTCTACTCGACAAGACCCAGCCTGTTGTGAGTACCGACGATGTAAGGGACTTTAACGGTATAGTTGAAGACGACAAGGTGTACCAGGTCTACTGGGCCGGTGACGCGCGAACAAAAGGATCGTTCTACGACGCGAAAGTACTCTACATGGCAGGTGAGTAGAACTAATGTACGGCGAGTGATGTACGAGTGCTTTGCATAACACGCTGACGGCTTAACTGCATTTGCAGCCGAAGCATCTCGTATAAAACGAGTAGTCAAATCGAGTTTCCAAAGCGGAGGAATAGCAGGAAGAAAGAAGAAGACGCCGTAGCGAAAGGCTGCGTTTTCATGTTCTCCGTTCAAGAAAACCAATCGGCCTCTGGCCGAGGAATTCAGGCTACAGATTCAGATGCTACCATTACTGCAATGGACAACTACCGTGTTCTGATGCCACGTCTGCCCTCAGGTAACCTCGTTCTAAATTCTGTCTTCCTTCATGGGGATCTCGCTGCCAGACCATACCGAGCTCCGGACTTCAGAGATGCCCTCAAGGGCATCATTGATCTAAAGGATATAATCGCCATGGGACAGTACCAAATGTCTCATGTGTGGATGGTCCAGTGTGTGACTTCGCTTGCAAAAGCAAAGCACGTCGCATGTGAAGACCTGAAGGTGAAAGGACGGAAATGTCTCGTTGTTGATCCAGAGACAAAGGAGGTGAAGATCAGACTGCTTTGGTTACCACCTTATATGGAAAACCGAAGAATCGTTGAAGCGATGGAACCCTACGGCACAGTACGCTCCGTAGTGCGAGAAAAGTGGAGATGTGAAGGAATGGAGGACATGGAAACCCTCAACCGTGAAGTACAACTGACCCTTCGAGACGACACTAACGTGAACAAGATTCCACACCTGATGACCATCTTCGGGTGCCAGAGCTTGCTTTTTATCTCAGGTCGGCCTCCTTTGTGCCTACGATGCCATCGAGTGGGCCACATCCGCCGCCATTGCCGGACTCCCTGGTGTGCGAAATGCCGACGGTACGGGCATAAACCGGAGGACTGCGTCATGACCTACGCTGACAGGCTGAGGTTGGGGACAACTGAAGAATCAACAACAGAGAACCTCATGGATGTAAGCGAAGTCGTTGACCCTAATGGCGACGTCTCTGCAGTGGCAGCAGCCCTGGACGGTGGGTCTCAATCGGCCTCCGGAAAACCGGTTGTGCCAGAGAACCTCACGTCGACCACCACCTCTAGCGACGACCCAATAATCACCGTTTCGCCTGCAACCGAAAACAGCACCCCGACAAACCCCGCGACTCCAACAAATAGGGACGCCTTCATGAACGAAAAACAGTGCGAAACAACCACCGAGGCTAACCTGGAAGACACCGAAACGGAGGAAAACGATGAGGTACCGGACCCAATTCTTGAACTAGAAGCGCTTACCAACGTGGGATTAAATGACGACCTTATAACTAGAGCAAAGCACTATGAAAAGAGACTGGGCGCTTTTCGACATAAGCAGTATTCAAAGACGCTCCCTGGCGCCAAGCTTGTTGAAGACAAGCAAACGGGCGATAACGCCCGACCATAAATGATCGCATGTCCAGCACCCTCCAACTTCGCGTGTCCACCTTAAATGTGAGAGGTCTCAGTTCTAAACGGAAGCACTGTCAACTTCTACAACTAATAGTCCAGCAGAAAATCGATATATTAGCTGTGCAGGAAACGAAAATGTGCAGCCAGGAACAAACCGAGATCGCATTGGAGCCCTTCCTGAAAGATTTCGAAGTGTGTGTCACTCATGCATCTGGCACATCGGCTGGATGTCTTTTGTTTCTAAAGAACGGGTTAGGTTTAACTGCTGCTTCTCTCACTACCGGCCAGGAAGGGCGCTTTATATCTTGCGATCTAGACCTTGTAAACATTCAATTGCGCATTATTTGCGTGTACGCTTCAAATGATGTGACAGCGCGCAAACATTTTTTTTCTTTTCTAACACCATACATTGACACAGATAGAAAACTGTTGCTATTGGGAGACTTCAACTGTGTGCTACATCTAAACGATCGCTCCCAACTAACGACTAGATTCGACCCTAGTGCAGCTGTACTCCAATCTCTTGTGAGCGATAACAACTTAGTAGACATCGGAAAACAAAAACGAGGCAGAGTGCACTATACACATTTCCAACGCTCCTCTCACGCTCGACTCGACCGGATATATGTCACTGGAGACCTTTATGACAATATTTCTGATTACTCAGTGAAACCTATATTTTTCTCAGACCACTGCCTTGTATCTGCAACTTTTGGGACAAAGAAACAACCCCCACTAAGACGTGAATGGAGCCTGTGGAAATTAAACACATCACTCTTAAACGACAAAATATTCACCGATGCTATACCCGCTATCCTTTCCTGTGTCAAACAGGACGCTTCCCTACACGTGTTTTGTAAATGGGACATGTTCAAGCAAGAAGTTAAAAATTGGGCAATTGAACGCTCAAGCTCCATTACCTTTATGAAAAAGCTAGAGCTACGAAACCTGCTCGCGATGCTATCAGAGCTTTATGAGCTTGAAAGCCTCAATCCCGGCGAATATACTGAGGAGATTAACATGGCAAAGACACAACTACAAAGATACGATACCGAGAAATATCGAGGCGCGGTGATCCGATCGCGCTCGCAAAAATATTTGCTCGGAGAGACGCCTGGACGCCGGTCCTTTGATGATGAAAGGAGATATGCTCTAAGCAAAGAAATACTCGAAATAGAACACAAAGGCAGCGCCCACACTGAAACGCAAAGCATTATAGAAGCTTTCCAAGACCATTACACTTATCTTTTCGGAAAGAGTATTGAGACCAAAGAGAGCGAAGAGATACAAAAACTTATAGAATGCGTGCCATCTTTAACAGACAAAGAGAAAGAGAGTGTTGAAGGCTCTCTGACCTTGGAAGAAACACAAGCTGCGATAAAAGCTCTACCGTCAGATAAGACTCCAGGCCCGGACGGCCTGGGCGCTCAGTTCTATAAGAAATTCTCATGCCTGCTGAGTCCATTCCTCCTTGATGTATTCAAAGCCGCATATGAGCACCAAACACTACCGCCAACCTTTTACGAAGGACATACAGTGCTTATACCCAAAACAGAAGACACGTTAGCTTTGAAAAAGATGGAGGCTTACAGGCCTATATCACTTTGCAATGTAGACTATAAGATCTTCGCAAAAGTTTTAAATGAACGTTTACATCTCATAATAGACAATCTAATCGGAACTCATCAAACTTGCGGTATACGTGAAAGAAATATTCAAACGAACATACATGTTGCAAGGTCCGTAATAGATTCAATATCCGACGAACAAAATAAAGTAGCCATAGTCCAACTAGACTTATCCAAAGCATTTGATAGAGTTAGCCGCTCCTTTTTATTCAGGCTACTTTCTCACGCAAACATAGGGACCACAATAATAAAGGGCATTCAGCTATGTTACAAGAACAGCACCACAAGACTAATTGTAAATAACTCACTTTCTGAACCTATACTTATAAAATCCTCGGTAAGACAAGGTTGTCCACTTTCACCACTGCTCTTTGCCATATATCTTGAACCTTTATGCCGTAGTATTATCAACAAAGATACAATTCGTGGCTATCAACTTTGCTCCGCAGAGGTGAAGCTACTAGCCTACGCCGATGATGTAGCGTTATTTTGTTCAAATCAGGCGAGTGTTGAAGAAGCACTTCAGGTAACAGAGAAATATTGCAACCTAACTGGAGCAAGGTTGAATGCAGAAAAATCAAACGGTTTTGGGATAGGAGCGTGGGCAACCACTCCAAAATGCTTTGGTGGGATTTCATGGAATCGCTGTCCTTTTAAATACCTTGGTGTTCCTCTTGACCAAACTCGTTTCACTGATCCATATTGGAGCACCGCCGTAACTATAATTAGAAGTAAATCGCAGGCATGGAGGGCACGAGAAATGTCAATTTTCGCTAAAGCAGCCGTCTGCAACACCTTCTTAATATCCAAACTTATGTATGTTTTGCAAGTACTGCATTGTAATCGCTCTAAAATTCAAGCTTTTCACCGAATTTTCGCTACATTTATCTGGAGTTCTCCTTGGGAACGCATGAAACGCGATAATTTATTCTTGCCTTTGGACTCGGGAGGCCTGGGCCTGGCGCATTTATTTGTGCGCCAGCTGGTCCAAAGATTGTTTTTCTTTAGGAATTTATCCCACCCAATTCTTCTCATGGCTGTTCAAAGAAAACTGGTTCACCATTTACCCTTTCTTATCGTTTCTACTACAAGCTCTGCTCCAAGCGGCCTGTGGGGTTTCTGGAAAGAGGTAGTCGATACCTTCTTGTTTTTAAAAGTCCGTTTTTCATTAGACTATCTTTTTGAAGCACCCAGAAAGCGGTTAGCACAAGCGTTGATCGAAAGTTTTTTTCCCACTCCGTTATACAGATCTAAGTTCGGTAACTGTGAAGGACAGGACGTTCTAAAACGTGTAAAGCGTATGTCTGTATCTCCAAGCACTATAACGTTCATGTTTAAACTGCACACGTCAACGCTTCCAGTCAAATGGTGGCTCCAGAGCCGCGGTTTCTTTGTGCCTTGGTCAATTGACTGTCGTTTATGCCACCAGCCGGAAACAATAGAGCACTGTTTTATTTACTGTACAGATGCGATTTTCTTCTGGGATGTGCTCCAAAGAACCCTAAGAAAAGATATTGACTTAACTGATCACAGTATTCGTTACTTATACGTCCCGACTGAAACAAATATCCCTTATGATTTATTTATGCTGATTGGTTTACACAGTCTCTGGAGATGCCGGATGATCGACAGAAATGCTGACATTCCACGCACAACTAAATCCATATTTCTGGAAGAAATTGCAAAAGTTAGAAGTGTTTATGAGGCCCACCCACCAGTGCCCGACTGGTTTCCTCTGTTTGACGCTTGTCTAGGACTTCCTGATTTTTAATATAGTGAAAGCAGCCAACATCCGTACATAATCAAATTATGTCTTTCATACACAACACACTTGAAATGTGCTTGCCTTAGGAATTTGTTTAAGTGTATGCCATGAATAAGTTGTACTCTCCGTTTCCGCAAAAGTGTATAGTGCCCAGAGTGAAGACATGAGTGCGACGCGAGTGCAAGTACAGTCATTATGTTCATCAAGGACTGATCACCAGGAGAGCATCCATCCACCACCTCCATCCTCATGTATATAACATTCACTGTGTGTATATAGAATTCGAATTTTAAATTGTGATTTTCCATGTATTAAAGAAAAAAAAAAGCGGAGGAATAGCATAGTGGTTAAGGTGCCCGATTTGTACGCAAGTGGTCGCGGGTTCGATGCGCGGTGGTCCTGCTTTATTTGTTTTCTTTTTTTTTTTTTCTCGAACATTTTGTTTTATTGAGGCATTTGGCGATATTTATGAGTGCGTATAGCTTTACTCTTATATAAATGCTGCCCTTGTAGATGAAATTCCCTTGGTAGTGGCAGTCAGACGTCATCTGATGGACCATCAGATGACGTCTGATGGTCCATCACGTCCCACCAAGGCTGCTGACGGCAGTCAGCGTCCCAAATTACGTACCTTGATGGAATTTTCAATAGGGACGCAACGAAATTGACGTCATCATATCCCCCATTCACGCTTAATAAGCTCGAACGGGTGAAATGATGACGTCAATTTCGTTGAGTGTGCTTCGCGCACACCGGCGGCTGCTGACTCATGGAGTCAGGAGGAGGAGGAGGAGGAGGAGGAGGGGAGGGTATGGAGGAGAAGGAAGGGCATATATACCCTCCCCTCCGTACCCTCCCCTCCTCCTACTCAAGAGCTGCGCTCTAATTTCGCATTACAAAGATTTGTGAACGTCTTTCATTTTCTTTTCCTTTGAACAAGAAGAGTTACACACTGATATCTTTAGACCAAGCTTCCACTACCTACGGTCGCTCCTCTGTAGCGAATGGCACAGCGATACGTTGAGAAACCGACTTACGCGGAGCGCTTAAAATTGTTTCGAAGCGTTAATGAACATGCTGTATCTTGTATTTTTCTGCCTCAGGCATAGTAGACATATTCAAAGCAAAACAATAACACCGCATAATAATTAAAAAAAAAAAAAAAAATGTTGCACGCAAAGTTTTTTTGCTGTCCTCGAACAACCATTCATGGGAATGAATAAACACCCGATTCTGTTGAGAGCTGCTATTCAAAATGGAAGCTGGGGCGTGTTGGTAAGGCATGATAAAAACGTACAGAATAAACAGACGGCACAGAAGACAGACGACACACAAGCGCTGACGTCTGCCTCGTGTTAAACGGAGCAAGTGCATCCGGCGTGATATTGTTTTTAACGTACCCCTGTTACAATTTCGAAAGAGGTAAGGAATATTAACAAAGAAACGAAAAGAAGGAAGGAAGAAAAAAAACGAACGAGAGACAGAAAACAAAATGAAAGGCAGGAGTTCCTTACCTTTTCAATCTGAGACATACATATGTCATGTCCCTCGCGTACGCTCATGCCATTTGCCCTGGCGTATCTCCGGTTCCCGTCCGGAACA